GTCCAAATTCCCCCTTTGATAGCTCATAGCCGGCAAAGACTATGGATTGGATATTAATTGATGTCGCGAGACCCTTTTTTAATCGATCTTTTTATCTTTTTTTTTTTTTTTTTTTTTGAGGGTGAAAGAATAGTCTGGACCAGGAGCTATGAAGAGATTTTTTTTTTTTTTTTTTGGGGGGGAGCGATTAAACTTACGTTGATATTAATAACCTTAATTAACGAAAGAGAGAGAGCTCGTACTCAAAAGAATAAGCTTTTTATCTTGAGCTCAAACATTTATATTCTAAGGGGAAGGGATTGTTCTTATGTCCACCACATAGCTCATCGCCCCGGAAACATTTTAACTGAATTACATGTTTTTTTTATTCTTTTTTTCTTCTTCTTTCTTCTTCTCCTCTTCTCTTTTCTCTCTCTTCTTCTTCATCTTCTTCTTCTTCTTCTTCTTCTTCTTCTTCTTTCTTTTCTTTCTTCTTCTTCTTCTTCTTCCTCTTCTCTCTTCCTCCTCCTCTCTTCTTCTTTTCTTTTCTTCTTCTTCTCTTCCTCTCCTCCTCTTCTTCTTCTCTTCTTTCTCTCTTTTCTTCTTCTTTCTTCTCTTTCTTTTTCTTCTTCTTCTTCTTCTTCTCTTCTTTTCTTCTCTTCTTCTCCTCTTTCTTCTTCTTCTCCTTCCTTCCTCCTTCGTCTGCCTCTTCTTCTTCTTCTTCCTCTCTTCTTCCTCCTCTCTCTCTCTTCCTCTTCTTCTTCTTCTTCTTCTTCTTTTCTTCCTCTTCTTCTTCTTCTTCCTCCTCCTCCTCCCTTCTTCTTCTTTTTCTTCTTCTTTTTCTTCTTTTTTGACTATGTATTTTTTCTTTTCGCTTACGTTAATAAATTTTAACCCATAAAGACCAAATTATTCCAGATATTCGTGTTCATAACGTTGATGTATCAAAACTACATCGGCGAATCGACATGGACAGACAGACAAAGATAACGAAAATAACAATAAGATATGAAGGATAATGATAGTCAAAATAGTAATGATAATAAGAAATAATAATCACGGAAATAATAAGTAAATCGTAATGATTAATAACAACAATAATAATGACGAAATAATGATAGTAACAATAATCGTGATGGTAATGGTGATAACTAATAACAATAATAACAACCGATAATAAATAATAGCAATAGAAATGATAACATTGCATACCATAATAGATGATAATGATAATGATGTTTTATAATGATAATGACCATGATAACGATAAGAATAATAAGTGATGATGATGATAATAATATACAATAATGATGGATAATATAATAATATATAATATATATAATAATATAATAATAATAATATAAATAATAATTAATAATATAATAAATAATAATAAATATAATATATAATTAATAATAATAATAATAATAATATAATAAAAATATATAATGAATATACAATGATAATGATGATGATGATGATGATTGATGGATGATGATGATGATGGATGATGATTTGATGATGATGATGATGGAGGATGATGAGGATGATGAGGATGTGATGATAATATGTTGATAATAATTAATTTAATAATAATAATAATATAATAATAATAATAATAATAATAATTAATAATAATAATAATAATAAAATGATAATAAATTAATGAATGGATAGCAATAAATAAAATTGAATAATGTTAGAAATGATAAGCTGAATGATAATGCTAAAGTACTACTACCAGTCAATAATAATAATAATATAAAGATAGATGAATCACAATAAATAATAATATAATAATAATATAATAATAGTAATAATATAAATAATAATAATAATAAGTAATAATAATATAATAATATAATAATAGTAATATAAATAAAAATAATAATAATAATGAAAAATAATAATATATAATAATATAATACATAATAATTATATAATAGATGGGATAATATAATAATAATAATGCGTACTGCATGATAACGGGTGTCATGATCGTTATACTCATTTAGTCACGTTTGTTTTTTTTTCTTCTAAAGATGTCATACGAACTCCACTTTCACACGATGTACGGTTTGTCAGAGCGGAATCGGATGTGATTGGAAGTTTCTTTTCGATTAATTGAAGTCTGGATTTTCTTCAGGTGAATTGAAGGATGTAGCTAAGTGGATTTTTTTTTTTTTTTTTTTTTTTTTTTTTTTTTTTTTTTACCGTTATCTTTGGTTTTCTGTTTTAATCAATTTAAGCTTTGTCTGTCTGCCGGGATCTGTCCTGTTTGTGTGTATGTTTTGTATTCGTTCCCGTGCTCTCTTTCTCGANGCTGATTGTCTGTCTGTAGGGTCTGTCTGGTTGTGTGTATATAGTGGTTTGTGAAAATCGCTTTCTCTCTCTTTTCTTCTTTTATTTATGTTTTTTCTCTATCTGTCTGTCTGTCTCGTGGTCTGTATCGCTTCTTCTCTCTCTCTCAGCTCCTCTCTCTCTTCTCGCCTCTCGTGTTCTCTCTCAATTCCTTCTCTCATTCTCCTCTCTCTCTCTTCTCTTCTCCTCTCTCTCTCTCTCTCTCTCTCCGTCTTCCTCTCTCCTCTCTCGTCTCTCTGTCTCTCTCTCCTCTCTCTTCTCTCTCTCCCTCTCCTC